CGTCAAAATAATAAGTTACAAAAATTGTCTTTTAATATATTAAAATAAATGTTAAATTTGCAATATAATATTATAATGCAAACATGTCTCCAAATGACTGATTACATATAACGTCAAAGTATTAAAATTGTAAGACTATTAATAAATTAATTATGCAATCAAAAACTAAAACATTGACTAAAAACCTTACAATTAATCAAAATATTATGTTTTTATATAAGTATTCTTACAAACAGTAATATTTAGTTACAAATGAGTCAATTTAAATGATTTTTTATATATAATTTTCATTTATTCTGTATTATATAATAATTGCTATATTCCATCACATAATACATGCATTTTTTTTATTTAATTATATTTTTCACACAATTAAACGAAATATTTATATAAGATACTAAATTTTAATGAATGTATGCTTGAATAAAGCTATTGTATAATATATTTATATAAATCCTTAAAAATAAGTTTAACTTAAGTTTTTATACTCACAAACAGACTATACTATATATAATAACAATAAATATTGAATAATAATATCGTTTTCATCACTCACTATAATTGAGTGAATATACAAATACATAGTAAAACTATTTCAAAAAAGTGTAGAAAATATGTATGAATATCTTTATTTATAATAATCAGTTAAGTCTCTCTCTCTCTCTCTCTCTCTCTCTCTCTCTCTCTCTCTCTCTCTCTCTCTCTTTCTTTCTTTCTCTTTCTTATCCATTCACCCACTCTATAGTTATGAGAAAATAGTAATCATTTATCAAAAGAAATTTAATTTTTATGCTTTATATTTATGTGCTGTCATTTGTTTTTATATAGTATACAGTATTTATTAAAACTTTTTCATATCATATATTATGTATTACTGCAAATATAATAAAATAATACTGTTATRGAAATATAAAATTTTTTATTAGTGTCACTAACATTAAATCAATTTCTTTATTTTTTTTGGCACTAATATTATTGGATTATAATCTCCAATAATGGTGATACTAAAACCTTATTGTTTTTATATATGTAAATATACTATCAATGTATTGTCCAAAAAATATAACAATTTATTATATTATTTGACTAATTTTTGTCAATACTATTAAATAGAATGTTTCTATGGTTTTCCTATCATTATATTTTCATTTATATTTGTTTCTCTATGTAATCAAATGGTAAACACAATAAATTGAGAGTTTGGCGAACATTACCTGAATTTATGAGTTGTTTCTGAGTATATGTGCTCTCTATATGTATAAGCCTTTGGTTTAGTCACTAAAACCATTGATAACTAATGTGTGACTCATTTTTATCGACTATATCTCACTCCCAACCATCCGTTGCTTCAATTGAATTCAAATATAACAATACAATGACTTAATATATATATATTATGTGTGTGTGTGTGTGTGTGTGTGTGTGTGTGTGTGAGAGAGAGAGAGAGAGAGAGAGAGAGAGAGAGAGAGAGAGAGAGAGAATGAATACAATGCATGCGAGCGCAGGCATAGCATTAGCATCACTCCCCACACACATACACACAGTGCTAAACATCATTTTCCACCAGTTTTAATACAAAATTAAAGTTTCTCTATAATAGACAATATAAAAAACAATCTCTCGTGTGTTATATATAGTGATTGTGTTGTTTGGTTTGTGTATCGATTTTTGTGACCATAAATTTATAATCAACTCATGCTTACTAATATCGATACAATATTGTGTAAAATAACATTTTATAAATATATGCATTCAAACTACTCGAGACATGATTGACATATAGTAAGAGTAAACACTTTTAAAATTATTTTTTGGTACCAAACAACACTTATTATTGTAGCTATAGCTGTGTGTGTGTGTGTGTGTGTGTGTGTGTGTGTGTGTGTGTGTGTGTGTGTGTGTGTKTGTGAAAGTGAGGCAATAAATTGTTGTTTGAATATAACTATTATATTAATACATAATTTATATTCAATAAGTATCGACCCATAAGGCATTCGCCATAGAGTTAAAATATTTGTATAAAAAACCAAAACATTAAATGATTAACGAAAATAATATTTGTTTCAAACAAAAATCCATTATTTTTAAAACCAAATGTCAATTCGTGTTTGAAACTGTTTTTTATGACACCTACGTCTACATCAAAATATTAAATGCAAAACTCTATTCAAATTAAAAAATACTCAAACATAGTGTGTAAAATCAAAAAGGTATAACTATTTTATGTCAAGAGGTAAACCAACAAAATATATATAAAAAATTGCATAAAATTGATGCAAAAACATTAGCAATATGTTTGTCATACGCTTGTCTCGCATCGGATAATATAATTGAAAACTTTGTTGCTCTCAACCAACCAACTAAAGTATAGTACCTTAAAATAAAAGTTTAATTTCAAGTACACTATACGTGTGTGTATTTTTGTAAAACTCTTTATATATATATTTTTATGTATTTCACGATAAGCATTAAAATGATTGAACACAAAATATTTTTGCGATAATATGATTTTTTCTGGTATATATATGTGTAGTAAATATGTTTTTGATTGATTACAAATTGAATCTAATGCTCTCAATAACCCAAAACACAACATCATATACATGTATTTACACACTGTTTGTCAGTTATTTTTTAATGTTCAAAATTATTATTATTATTTATTTTTAATGTACCATTGTTTTTAATCTATACTATAAACTTCAAACTCAGAAATTGCTTAATATATCATCGAAACTCCGGTTTTATTATAATATTTATGGCTAACAAACATGAGATTGAATTGCAAATTAGAGACAAACATTAAAAACTAAGACTTAATTCGTGATTTCTGAGTTTGACTTTTAATAAACTATTTATAAACTATACTAATAATTATAAATAATAGTAGTATAGTATAGATTGGTGGTAAGGGATTCAATATTATTATACATAGAGAAATGGCGTGAATTTTATAACAAATAACACCCTTTTCTAAATGATATAATTATGTTTATGTCTAGTTTTACTAGTTTTGAATCTTACAATATTATATAATATTATATATATATTGTACAATACATATATACTAAATGTAGTAAACAGTATCCTACACATCATATTGTCTATACGTTATAATAGAAATTTATGTTAAGTATTGAATTAATGAATGAAGATTTTTATGGGCAAACCCGACAAACAACACATTGCTATTTACAAATAATATAATTTATAACAATAAAAATAAATTAATGAGTTTGCAATGTAAAACATAAACAACTAATTTCCTGAAAACAACTTGTTATATAATAGAGTCTATCGATTGATTTACAGTATACAAAAACTACCGCTTTATTACTAATCTCAATAACATTATAATTAGCTCATCAACACATATTCACATATATTAGCTCAACAAACATCTATTGAATCAAATGCCACAAAAATTAATTGTATGAACCATTGTCTGTAAAAACATTGATAACAATATACAACTTTAGGAATTAAATGACATAAAAACATTATAATTGTTGAGACAATGTCTCGATAGTTACGATAATAACATACTGTAAAATATATTGACAGTTTGATATCCATTATTAAATGGTTTATATAAATGATTGTTCACTTGAATAGCGATGAAGAGATGAGAAACGATTTTATCTTATTTTAGGAAAACATCATTTTTCAGGGATTCAGACATTGGTCTTGAAAATACAGTACATATAAATATAATTTAAATGTTACATAAAAGAGAGCAAATATATTGATTGCTATAAATATAAAATTTCGTTTATCGGAATGTTTAACACACGGAATATTCTTTACTTCAATATTTTTCCACTTTTTTTTTATTAAAAACATTGTTTTCCCCTTATAGTGTACAACAACAACAAAAAGTTTTGAATTGAATCATATTTTTTATGTATTGAAAGGAAAATATTTTATATTCATAAAATGGATATCCATTATTATTATTATTATTATTATTATTATATATATATATATATATATATATATATATACAGTATATATATGTTTTATCAAATATAGTTTTTTTTTCATTTTACTTTCTGTGGTCTTTCAAAAAAAGCAAATGATAAGAGTGTGAATATAAACGTTTGTAACAACTGAACCTAAATACCGGTGAAGTTAAGGTTGTGTTTTGCGATAAAATGTTAAGATTATAACACAAAGTAATGTAATTTAATGTTATGTTATGCAATGTGTCTCAATTGTATTTGTGTCGGTAGTGAGTCTTTGAAGAAAATTATTTTTAAAAATACCGTTTATCCAAAAAATAAATAATTATAGACATAAGTCTCAATAAAATACTGACAAATGTCATGAATATCATTAATTTAATAGTTTTTTTTGCGATGATTTTTCTTGATTATGCTTTGAAATGTCATAAAACACATCGTTTTTTTCATCACAAAATGTAAATGAATTAAATGAAATGTCTATTTATTTATTTTGATTTTTTTAAACTAGTTTTAAGTCCAATTGTTTGTATATATAATATTAGGCATAGTTTAACTGCGTTTTATTATTATTGTTATTATTATTTTTCCTATTAGTCTAGTGTTTAATTTTATTTTGCGATAAATGCATGAAATAATACTTAATAAATAGCTATTTCGCTCTTAATGTGAACTTTGTATTACTTTTTTTAAACCAATATTATATTTAATATCTTTATCAGAGACTTTTAAAAGTCATTGTCATCGCAACCGATGGCACACAACATAACATCATATGTTAAGTTATTTTTAAAAATATTAATTTTCACGTAAAAAATTATTATGTTATACAATATAATTAGATTATATAAAAATAAAGTAAAAAATTTGCATTTACTCATAAAATATATATATGATATTTTTAGATGTAAATAAACAACTTTCTATAAAAATATTAATATTATGTTTATATAGTATATAGTACTCTCTAAAACTTATTTAAATAAAATTTTTGTTATCGCATCTAATGCTAACAATTTACATGAAATTTGTAAATACCTTGAATAGTGTGCGTCCAAAGTGATGACCAAACTATTGATATGATTGTGAATATCAAACATAAATCCTTATGACATGACATCATATACACAGTCAATACAATACAATATTAGAGATGATGTGAAATTTGGTATGAATTGTATGAAACAAATTAGACATTTTTTAATTAAATTAAAAGTTACATGGTCATTTAATGATAACAAGTTAGCATCAATTTATTTAACATATATAACATCATGGTCATTTTTGTATTAATTTTAATTTGATTGTTCTAAATGTTCAATCAATTCATGTATCAAATTATATTATGGTTAACATTCAATATAATCACTGATGAGTTTCACATTATATTTCTAATTCATTGCCGATATTATTAAGAGTCGGAAAGTTTTGGACAAAATTGTCGCCAAATTGTTAGTCTATTTCTCTCTTTCTCTAATAACAAGTCATAAAACACTGTTATATATTGTAGTGAATGTTGCAGTCAGTGATAAACACGATTGAGAGGAGAAAAGCACTGCAAACTGTATTCAAAGTTAGACTCATATTGTATTACAAACTGTTGTATGCATTTGAATGCATTGAGAAAACTATAAGACCCGGGTATCTGACAGCTGGCGTTTGCAGTGAACCACACAATACAATGCTATGACTGTGGAGAGTGTGTGTGAGTCACACACAGTTAGGCCACACCATAGCCAACGGTGCTAACAGTTAGCTGATTGTGCGCACACTGACTGACTATCACATCTTAAATTTATATACACTACTTAATAATAGGGTATCATTAATAATTTAGTATCATAATATTTGTCCAGGCTTATAATTTACAATTAATAATATAAACTTAAATTATATTATATTTCAAATTGAAAATTAATACTTTATGTTATAAATTATAAAAAATAATTGAATTTCAGTATTTGAGTTTAGATTATAATCTAAATGTATTGAATAATTTGTTTTGACTAAAAAGTTTTTTATGCTTTTGTTATCTCATGCGAACATTTGGACCAATTTTGGAGGACTTTAAGAGAGAAAGAAAGGCAGCCATAGTTTGTACATAAGTATGACCCAAACCCAACATCCCTGTCCTACTTGTCTGTCCCCGCATTACAATAAGCAACACATTTGAAAGACATCCATTGAAATGAAGTGAATTTAGTCTTAACTCAAAAAAATTTCACTCTTTTGGGATTTTGTTTAATAAAAATATGTTAATATCATTTTGACTGACTTTATACTCGCATATCATATCTTTTTGCTCTCTCTCTCTCTCTCTCTCTCTCTCTCTCTCTCTCTCTCTCTCTCTCTCTCTCTCTCTCTCTCTCTTCACTGTATATCACAGTTTGCATATCATATGTCATTGACTTGACTAATGAAATACAAAGCCTAGACTGTTATTTTCACTGACATTATTGACAATTATAATAAATACAAAAAATACAAAAAATATGTGACACATTTAAAAATTCATTTCTACATATTATACTGTTTAATATCATTAGTAAATATTTATATTTAAAATATTTGTGATAATAATATCATCTAAAAAATATTTGTAAATAAAATTAACAAATACTAAATTTAAATCATAGTTTTATAGTTTTAATTTTTTGTTTTAAAAACTGTTCAAAATCATTTTAAAACAAATACAATAATAAATTTGTGCATTTATTTAAAACGATACAAATAACTATAAACAGTAACACCCAATAAACAAGTTGTTTGTATTTAGCTATTTAGTGCCCAAATATGGTATACATGGCTATTATTGCCGTTGAATATTGTTATATATTTATATGGTATATAAATAGCAATTTATGACCATTTCTTTTAGTGTTTTAAATTAGTTTTTATTTTGTCTGAAAATTATTTTCAATTCGCTTTCCTGTTTATATTATAACTTTGGTTAGCAAATGAATGAATAAATAAATATATAAATAAATAAAAATCAATCCTTTTTTTCCTGTTTTAAATGTCTTACTATTATTATGTTTTGTAGTCTTAACTTAACTTTTATTTGATTGCTATTGAAATGCCAAAAAAGAAAATCTTTTGACATTAGATATACAGCTCATTACAGGTTCATTATATGCCTTATGTGTTATATAAAGTACAATAAGATTATATATAATAATAAAAGTTATTCACAATACTATTAGTAAACTTTTGGTGTTTAATTCAATAGTTATTTATACGAAACGATATGTTACTGTTTACTCTGTGTTTAACTTCAATATATGCTTTATTTTATAGCTTAGTTGATAACATATCTTAAATATATAGACGTTTGTGCAACAAATCTAATTTATTAATACAGTAAATTAAGGTCTACTGGAAACTCATATCATAGATATTATACAGTATTATAGTGTATAGTGTATAATGAAATAACACACTGCCTGATACATACAGTATTATGATATTTAAGTAATTTTGTATATTTTTTGATAATTTTACTTATGAAATAAGTTATTTACAAAAATACAACTTAAATAATAATTTAAGAATTTTTATATGTAGTTAGTTATATATATTATTTTTGTTTATTTTTATTAATATATTTTTTTAAATTGAAGTACAGTAAATTTAATTAAACAAATTACTATTTTTAAGATTACATAAATTGCAATATACTTTATTTTATCTTAAATATAGATTAATTTAATTAAAAATGTAAGATTATATTTATAATAAAACATTGCTTTTTAATATGTATTAGTACTGTATTTATATACAAAAGTTGCATTTAATGATAATAATAATTTTTAATAAGAAAAAAGGTTTTATTATAATCATTGTTTTATTTTTAGAATGTTTTCAATTTTAATAATTAAACCAAAGTTTAGTTTATCATATCATAATTATTACAGTATAACATAATTTTATAAAATGTATTTTTGAGTTTAAATTTTAGTACATAACTAAATCACCCGAAGTCTAGTTTTTACGAATATCATTAAATAAATTCATAAACATATAATATTATAGTTATATAATATATCCAATTGTTTAAATAAGATATTTAAAAGATGTTAATAATTTAATAACATATAATATTTGACTCAACGATAGTTTAAATTTATGTTTGTATATTAAATTATATAATTTTTAAATTAAATATATAATATTTATTCAAAATTACTTATTATATATTGCAAGTATATATTATAAATATAAATTTACAAATGTCTACAATTTTTGTTTGCTAAGCAAATAATGTATATACTTTGCATTTTTTCTTTATGACACATACTATAAATATATAATTTTATATTATATTGTATTTAAAGATACTTTTAAAAATTATATTTACTAATAGATAATCAAATGTAAATAATTTATTGGTTAAAATTATTATTAGAATAAAATTTATTTTATTAATTTAACTAAATAAACTTGTTGATCTAAAATGATGTTTATTAAGATAAATATTATATATTTAAATCAAATATGTTAAACACTAGCAACCTGTTCAGCCTAATATATGACTGCCATAATATATGTTGGTATCTATTAATGATAGTCTATATTTATCAAGTATTACTTTAAGAAACATACAATATATGTAACATAAATTTGAAGAGTCGTGAGAAATGACCGGAATTGTTGAGTCAAACATAAGGAATTGGTTGACAATTATTGAGGAAAACTAACAATCATTTCGATAAAATTTATGTTATTTATAAAGAATTCAATTGTTAGGCCAACATCTCATCCAACCATCACTTACATACTCTCTCTCTCTCTCTCTCTCTCTCTCTCTCTCTCTCTCTCTCTCTTTCTCCCTATTCTTCAGTTATGTCTATGACAACTATATATATATATCATACAAATATAAAAGTTGGTATTATTTGTAGAAAATATAAATTGAAAAATATAAATAACAAAAGTGATCCAAATCGGTGATCATTAGTATAGTAGAAGACCGACCCTTAGGACAAACAGACAAATCTATTGTGTATTAGTTTTTCGAGAAATAAGAAATTGAAGAAAACTTAGGATTTGTTATTTGTATTATACAAAAGTTACAGTATTTTATCAATAAATAGTATAAATAAATAACTTTGAAAATCTCCAAAAAACATATTACTGATTTTTGTTTTGTTTTAATAATAAGTTAAAAATCTATTTTTTATATATAAATACAGTAGTATTACTAAATACAACAAAATATTAAATTACATTTTCAGTAGCCAATCAAATAAATAACAACTATAAATATCAGATAAAAATATTCATAATAATACTTTATTATTATTATTATTATTATTTGAAAATAGCTTTAGTTAACAAATGAAGAGAATTGAAATGAATTTTACTTTTCTTATTATAAAACATACAAACATATTATACCAATAAAATAAAAATTCCCATATATTTAATGGTCAATAAATAAAATGCAAGTTAACTGTATTGTTAAAAGTTTTTCAATACAAATAAATCTCAAATAAAACTCAAATTATCTTCTCTCTCACTTATATATATATATAATAAAAAAGTAAAAATAAAGTAATATCTTTAAATTATTATAAACCATACATTTGTGACATAAGTTTATTATAACAAAAGTTCTTTTTGTTGCTATAATTCAATTTAAGGCTTAAATACATTTACAGTATATTTATTGTGCTTTTACTATAAGTGTGTGTTTGTGTGAGTAAGTTATTAAATCAAATTATAAAGAGTGAAAACTTGATAGACTCTATGGGTAAATAAAAACAATACAAAAATATTTTTCAAATATTTATTAGATAATAATTAATTGGCCATTAAATTAATTTTTTATTTTTTAAAATTAAATCAAACTTACTATAATAACAATGAAGTGATTTAACAAAAAATTTTTGTTTACTTTTGGTTTTAGTTATTATATATAATATTTTATTTTTTGTTTTAGAAAAGTTATACTTAAAGTATATTATATTTGTTTTTAAATAATAAATAATAATAATTTTTTAGAAAAATTCATTTGTATTGCTTTTGATATTAAATATAGTGATATAAGCTTCGGAAAGGAAACGTCAGCACGACTTTCTCTAAAAGATAATACCATTACTTAGAAAATGAATTTTACTT